CAAATGTGTTCATTCTATTGCTTCTATTTCCTGCAGCACCTCGAGGCTACACCCACTGGTAAGAAAGCCAAGTACAAACCAGCTGGGCCCTGCCAATGCAAATTCACAATGTAAACTCCAGTCGTGAGATCACTTCACCTGCCACTTCTTTCCCCAAAAGGATGAAATATTCACTCTGCTGTCTTATTGGCACAGGTGGACCTGAAAAGACTCACACAAGTTACAGCCGAGTTTTGAACACGTGGGTGCATGGAGGGGAAGGAGAGAACCCACAGCCTGTGGCCCAGGCCAACACAGGAGTGCTCTGAGGCCCTTGACCTTGCCTTGGGAGGCACGCGTCTATGAACAAACAATGAAGAAGAGGCACCTTCAGTGCTGTGCGTACAAAGCACCATTGCTGTGCTATGTCATGATCCAAATAAGGCAGGTTTTCACGTGACACTTGTCACCAGCATGCACATGGAGAATTTCCACAGTACTAAGAACAAAATTAGAATAATTCTGGCAGAAATCCAGATACAACTGTGTAAACCTAAGCAGAAAAACACATGCACCACAGGTATTTAATATCAAACTATCTGCAAAATCATCAGTGGACAACGTTCTCCCTCCTGCTCCCCACTGAGATGAGTGTACCTCGACAATCGGGCGTCTGCACAGCCCCCGTGTGACACAGACCAGCAGGGACTTTGAGATGTGCACTGCGGCCCTATGTCACCTTTTTTTGGTGCCTATAGTGGCTTAATTCTCCCGAGCTGTGCTCTGGAAGAGGGGTCTGATCTCTTGGCTACGTCCTAAAGAACCACAGTTTGATGGGCTAGGACACGTGACCTGGAGACCGTAACTGATGAGAGGCCTGTGCACTGGTGGGAAGCAGGGAGCCAGCGGCGAAGGGGTCTTCAGAGCACTGGGGAAAGGATGGGAGATGAGTCTTCTGGTCCAGGTCCTGCTTCCACCCACGTGGGTAGACTTGGACCTTTCCCCTCACTGAGCCCTGCTTCCGCTTCGCTGTCTGTGAATGGAAGGGAGGGGCTGTGCCAACCCTCTAAGCTCGCAGTGATGGATGCAGAACCCTTTCCTCCCTGCCCATACCCCAGACCACTCGCTCGGTGCCAGACAGGGCTGATGGAAGAAGAGTGTCCAAGAGCTCCAAGAGCCCTCAGAGGGAGCTGTGGGCCTCCACAACGCGGGACCAGGTGGTGGCTGCAGCTGTCGGGGACTTGGCTGTCACGTTGAGCTGGGGTCCCTGCCTCTGTCCTGTTCCTGTTGGTCTCAGTCTTAGAACTGTGTTCATAGTGTAAGAAAGAGGTAGAGAAAAACAAAGCAAAAGCAGAAGCATACCTGCCTGCTCACTCCATCGTCTCCTGCCTTTTTACTGCAGAAAATCTCACACATAAACCAAAGTAAAGAGAACTACAAAACTACCATCCAAGTGACTGTCTCCCAGCTTCCACAATGGCCAATCTAGGTGCTTCTAGACCCCCACGCACTCCCCAGCCCTGCTGCTCTCAGATTTTTTTTTTTCACTTACTGTCAATTTTTAAAATCCTAGCTCTACTGAGATATGCTACATCCCGTACAACTCACTGGTTTAAAGTGTACAATGCTTCTCACTTCAGTGACAAGTAGAAACGTTTAATTTTTATAGTGCACTGTACAACATGTTTTGATATATGTATACAGAATTGACACATTTTTTACTCCCCCTCACGCACACATTTTGTGGTAGGAATAAGTAAAATCTACTCTTTAGCAATTTTCAAGCACACAAATACACTGACATTAACTACAGTTATCACATGGTGTAGATCTCTTGGACCTCCTCCTCCTGTCTAACTGAAATTCTGGATCTTTGACCAACACCTGAGATTCTTTTGAAGCAAACCCAGGCACCAGACACCAAATCAGTCTGTAGATAGACTGCAGCATATTCTCCTAAAGACAGACTTCCTCTTTAAAACAGAACCATAATATCATCCCCACCTCAACACTATCAGTTAGTTAGTCTTTACATTTCCTTAATTTCCTATAATTTTTAAAAAATATTTATTTATTTATTTGAAAGTCAGAGTTACACAGAAAGAGAAGGAGAGGCAGAGAGGGAGAGAGAGAGAGAGATCTTCCATCACTGGTTCACTCCCCAAATGGCCGCAACAGCCAGAGCTGCGCTGATCCTAAGCCAGTGGCTAGGAGCTTCCTTGGGGTTTCCCACATGGTTGAAGGGGCCCAAGGACTTGGGCCATCTTCTACTGCTTTCCCAGGCCATAGCAGAGAGCTGGATCAGAAGTGGAGCAGCCAGGACTCAAACTGGTGCTTATATGGGATGCTGGCACTGCAGGCGGAGGCTTTATCTGCTACGCCACAGCACTGGCCCCAGTTTCCTATGATTTAAGACCTTGTTTATCTGAATTGTCTGGCCCTTTCTATAAATTTGCTGGCCAAAACTCTCCACTGTATCCATCCTGGTCCACTCAATGTCTTCTGAATATCAAGTGCATTCTTCTCTGGCCTCCCAGTCTTAGCAACATCCACTCTCTCTATCCCCAAATATCCATCCCTTTCTACCCATTCAAATCCCCTGTCATTTTAAAGGCACGGTTAAAACCACACCATACCCAAAGGAGACCTTTTAATTAGCCACCCAACAGAGAGAAATATGCCTCCCTTCTCGAAAACTCTGGACATCTAATGTTTCCTTTCAGTTATTTACCACCCGGTAGAATTGGTTGTTTCTCTGTATAAACAAATCATCATTCCAAATTGATGCTAAGTTCCCCAAGTGTTACACTTGGACTTTTTTAGATCTCCCTATAACTATTTGCAAAATATTTTACCCAGAGAGGTGTTCAGGCAACCAGTGATTAACTGACCTTTAGTTAATTAACATTTTACTCTGAGGGGCCGGTGTTGTGGCACAGCAGGTAAAGGCGCCACCTGCAATGCTGGCATCCTATATGGGTGCCAGTTGGTGTCCCAGCTGCTCCACTTCCAATCCAGCTCCCAGCTAATGGCCTGGAAAAAGCAGCCGAGGAGCGCCCAAGGACGGTTACCTATGTGGGAGACCTCGAAAAAGCTCCTAGCTTCAGGCTCCTGGCTTCGGCCTGGCCCAGCCCTGGCTACTGCGGCCATCTGAACAGTGAAATAGTGGATAGATTTCTGTCCCTCCCTCTTTCTGTAACTCTGACTTTTAAATAAATATTTTTTTTTAAATAGGCTTTACTATGCAATGCCATCAGCTTAGTCTCTTTTACTTCTTTGTAAATACTCTGAACCCATTATAAAAATAATTTTTCTGGCTCAAAGACTCATTAGGAAACTTGTATAAACTGTGGGAGAAGTTGTTCAGAAAAGGACCTTCTCCAAAGAAGCTAACTGTGTGACATTAGATTAAAGATTAATTTGAAACGCAGAGTAAAATACACAGAGGGAGAGATCTTCTATTACTAGTTCACTGCCCAAATGACTGTAAGAGCTGGGTCTGTACAAGGCCAAGGGAATTCCATGTAGGTCCTTCTTGTAGGTGGCATGGACTCAAGAACTTGAACCATCATCTGCTGCCTCCCAGGCGCATTAGCAGGAAGCTGGAGTGGAAGTGCAGGGTAGCTGGCACTCCAGTTGGCACTGTGATATGGGCTGCAGGTATCCCAAGCTGCAGCTCAACTCACTGTGCCACAATGCCTGCCTCCCATTAATTTCTTATGTGAGGCTGAAGATGAAAGACCCATCTTATCTTCCAAAACAAAATATCATAATCCCACTGTTACCAAAACATGTTTCTTGAATGAAGGCAACCCTTAGTAATTACAGAATGGCACAAACCAAAGGATCTTCCCTAACACACACACACACACACACATACACAGAATTAACCTGTGTGTTCCTATGCCTGAGCTGGTAGAGACAACAGAGGCACTGGATGCTCCAGTTAAAGGTGGGTGTGAGGCACAGAACTAGATGCATGGGTCCAGGGATGCCTAGAGACCTTGTACTTAGTACCCATGGCTCCATGGAGACTTATTGTGCCTTGAGGAATCAGTTAAACCTCCTTGGGCAGAAGTCACAACATTTTCTTAAAGACCAATGAAATATAATCCTTTATGTGTTTTCCTCAGCACAGAACAGGATCAGCTTTAGGTTCAATCAATTAATTGCAGCTCATCCAAATGCTAAGATGCACTTGGAATACTCTTTGTAAACAGTGACAAAGCTATATTTCTCCTGAAAAGCATTTTTCCAGAATCTGGCACAGTTCTTCCTAAGATCCTTCAGAAAGCAATGACCAAGACATATTTAATGGATCCTTCCTATAGTTTCTGAAAACCAATTCTGCGGAGCCCCAGAGTGCTCACAAAGGATGAATGAACCATTCTCTCTTACTCAGAAAGGCAGTTCCTGGCTCCCTGATTAGGGATAAGGTAAGATTCTGAGGTCACATTCACATCAGGCAACCTCACAAAAAGGTTGTGTTTTTGCCAGACCAGAAAGAGAACAGATAAATCTGAGGATGAAATATGCCCCAGTAACTGTAAAAATATGTTTAAAAAGAGCCTAAGGAGAGGGTGAGAACAAAACTACCCACCTTCTTTAAAATGTTACTCAAATTTCTAGATCAAGGTGAAAACAGTTGTGAGTCAATGTAGCTTTGAACTGAACAGCATAATAAAGCAACTAAAATAGTAAGGATTTCAACTAGAATCTAACCGGCAAAATTCACAGGAATCTTTAGAACTGATTATGTCTGTTAGAATAATTATGTGAAGTAGAAACTGGTATCACAGTTACTTAAATATTAGTTACTTTAGCAGATTCTTAACTATCGAAAGTAGCAGGGTCAAACTGTATTTCCTGCATCTGAATTGATAGTCATTATAAAACTCGGAACTTTTACTATGCCCCTGAGCTTTGTAGAACAAGCGACAAAAGCCACTCGTCACTGTTGCTATGAGACAAATGTTTACATCACACATTCCTGGAGGAGGAAGGCAATGACAAGTTCTCACCAAGTAATCGTCAGGCTTGATCCCAAAAAGCTCTCTGAAATACCGGAAGGCCAGCGGAGCGTACGTCTTGAATCGGAAGTCTGGGAAGTGGTGCGCAGGGGTCAGGTTGCTTCCTTCACTGCAGTTAGGACATTCGGAAACGACACACACAGAGGACATTAGAAAAGACACTTTGGACTCCAAATTCTACCTCTAGTAGTCCAGGGTCAATTTCATCTCTAGAAAAAACATCCTCTGCTAGTGTTCTCTCAAAGCCCATGTCAAGAAGGCCAATGGCCATGATCTAAAACAGAATAAAAATCAAATGCTAACTCATGAGGGCTACTCCATGCAGTGGGCTCTCACAGCGTGCTCAAGGCTGAAAATTCCTCACTCCCCAAACCCTCACCCCATTCTGTCTTCTTCCCAGGACAATCAGTTCATCTATCCTTTTGAAACCACTTTGTGATGCCTTAGGTACAAGAATCAGGGCTTGGGACCGGCATTGTGGCACAATAGGTTAAGCTTCCACTTGTGATACCAGTACCCTGTATGGCCACTGGTTCAAGTTCCAGCTGCTTCACTTCCCATCCAGCTCCCTGATAATGCATTTGGGAAATCAGCAGAGGATGGGTCAATGCTTGGGCCCCTGTACCCAATGTGGGAGACCCAGATGTTCTTCCAAGCTCCTGGCTTCAGCCTGGCCCAGCCCTGGCTATTGTGGTCATTTGGGAAGTAAACCAGCAGACAGAAGATCTCCCTCTCTTTTTCTCTTTTTCTTTCTCTCTCTCCCCTCTCCCTTTTTCTCTGTAACTCTGCCTTTCAAATAAATAAACAAAATCTTAAAAAAGAGATCCAGGGGCTGGCATCGTGGCTTACTAGGCTAATCCTCCGCCTGTGGCACCGGTACTCCAGGTTCTAGTCCCAGTTGGGGCGCCGGTTCTGTCCCGGTTACTCCTCTTCCAGTCCAGCTCTTTGCTGTGGCCCGGGAGGGCACTGGAGGATGGCCCAACTGCTTGGGCCCTGCACTGGCATAGGGAGACCAGGAGGAAGCACCTGGCTCCTGCCTTCAGATTGGCACAGTGCACCGGCCGTAACAGCCATTTGGGGGGTGAACCAACGGAAAGAAGAAAGGAGACCTTTCTCTCTCTCTAACTCTGCCTGTCAAAAAAAAAAAAAAAAAAAAAAAAAGAGAGAGAAAGAGAGAGAGAGAGATATCCAGGGCTTGATACGTGGAGTAATTTAAAAAATGTATCATTTTGACTATAAACTTCAGATATTACATAATTTTTTTAAAGATTTTATTTATTTATTTGAGAGGTAGAGCTACAGACACTGAGAGAGAGAAACAAAGGTCTTCCATCTGCTGGTTCACTCGCCAAATGGCTACAACAGCTGGAGCTGAGCCGATCTGAAGCCAGGAGCCAGAATCCACCACAGTGACGATGACGTGGGGGCAGAGACTCAAGCACTTGGGCCATCTTATAGTGCTTTCCCAGGCCATAGCAGACAGCTGGATCAGAAGAGGAGCAGCTGGGACTAGAACCAGCGGCCATATGGGATGCCAGTGCCCCAGGAGGGAACTGACCTACTGCGCCGTAGTGCCGGCCCCAGATAAATATTTTTTTAACCAAGAGGGAGCAAAATAATTCTTAAATATTTGACATGACAGAGCCATCACACTGGAAGTAGATGGGACCTCAATCTGAACACTCTTCTTATATTCATGTTTTCCAAAGAAACCTTAAATATTTTAGGGTTTTAAAACTCAATTTTCATGACCAAATATAGCATTATCTTTTTCTTTTCTGGGTTCATTTTGAACATTTTTTCCAAAATATTTATGACAAGCAAAAGATAAAAGAAATCACCCTTTGAAAATGCAGAATCCCAGAATGTTTCTTAAGGAATGAAATGTTATCTGTACCATACTACTCCTTTTACTCATCATATCCTTAGAGGCATCGACTTGTCTGAATTTTGATGTTTATCAACCTCATTCTTTGTCTCTATGCAATACTACCCTTTTGCATGACCTCAGACATGCTGCCTAACTCATGCATATTTAAATTTTTCATGAATAATTAGATCAATGCAATAGAATAATATAATTTTATACAACATTTCCAGATTTTTTTTTAAAAGTTATTTAAGGTACAGAAGTTTCATGTATTTCATATATGTAGATTTAGGAACATAATGATACTTCCCAACCTACCCTCCCTCCTGCCCATATGCCAACCCTTTTATCTCTTCCCACTCTTAATTTTCACAAAGATCTACTCTCAGTATACTTAATACTCATAAAGTTAACTCTATACTAAATAAAGAATTCAATAAATGGTATGAAGAAAAAAAATACTGTTCCTCAAGAGAAGAGACAGGACTATAAACAATCACTGAATCTCAAAATGTCCATTTCACTCTAATACATTACATTTTAAGTATTTTATTAGTTACCCCAGATCAGGGAAAACATATGATATCTGTCCTTTTGAGACTGGCTTATTTCACTAAGTATAATGGCTTCCAGTTGTACTTATTTTCTTACAAAAGAAAGCATTTCATTTTTATATTACAGCTGAGTAGTACTCTATTATATATATACACCATAATTTCTTTATCCAGTCATCAGTTGATGGACATCTGGGTTGATTCCATAGCTTAGCTATTGTGAACTGAACGGCTATAAACATGGGGGTAGATAACTCTTCCACATGCTGATTTCTTTTGGTTTGGGTAAATTCCCAGGAGTGGGATGGCTGGGTCATTTGGTAGGCCTGTTCAGATTTCTAAGGTATCACCATACTGTCTTTCACAGTGGCTGCACCAGTTTACATTCCCACCAATAGTGGATTAGAGTACCTTTTCCCCCACATCCTCACTAGTATTTGTTGTTTGTTGATTTCTGTATGAGAGCCATTCTAACTGTGGTGAGGTGAAACCTCCTTGTGGTTTTGATTTGCATTTCCCTGATGGCTAGTGATCCTAAGCATTTTGTCAAGTGTCTATTGGCCATTTGAATTTCTTCTCTTGAAAAATGCCTGTTCAAGTCCTTTGCCCATTTCTTAACTGGATCCTTTGTTTTATTGTCCCTGAACAACTGTAAATTCCAGATCCTTTTATAGTGCATTGTAGGTAGGACATTGAGAAAAAATGAGATTTCCTCAATTTAACTACTAGTGTCAGAGGATGGAGGGAAGGAGAATTGGAGAAGGTTTATTAGTTACCAGCTCTGGGCCAGAACCAATAAAAGACCATTTCACATTCTTGAATGTATGTTAAAACTTAACTCAAGGGAGTGGTGATGCAGCATAGTAGCTTAAGCTGCTACCTGTAGCATATGCATCCCATATAGGTCCTGCTGCTCCACTTCCTATCCAGTTCCCTGTTAATTCACTTGGGAAAGCAGTGGACAATGGCCCAAGAACATGGGTTCCTGCACTCATGAGGGAGACCCAGACTAAGCTCTTGACTTCAAGCTTGTCCTGCCATTGTGGCCATTTGGGGAATGAATCAGCAGATGGAAGATTTCTCTCTCTCTCTAACTCTGCTTTTCAAATAAATCTTGTAATGAACAAACAAACAAAAAAATCTTAACTCAAATCTCATCACAACCCTCATGAATCATCGCCTCCTGTTTGCTACCTCAACCAATTCAGAAGGAATAAGTACTTCTCCTTACAAACTGTCCACCATTCCTCAAATCTTCCATATTTCACATCACCCCACCCCTCCTATCTGCAGACAACGAAGGACCAATACAAATGACTTAAGCTTCCCTTCCCCACATTTTCATAATAAAACTACTCTTAACTCTAGGTACTGTTGACATTTTTCCAATTGCTATCTAGCCTTGCTGCTGGTCCTTTGTAGAAATTTGTGCCAGAACCTTGTTTTTTTCTGGTTAACATCAATAAAACCCTTTACTGCAGAGATCCCTTGGTTTCAAGAGTTTTGTCTTATTAAGTGCTGGTGCAAGTTTATCGTGTTCTGTTTCCACAGCATGAACACTGTGAAAATATAAAGAATGTGAACACCTAACCTACATTTAGAATCTACCACAATTTAAGATTGTTGACATCAATCCAATTTTTACATCAGGGCCTGGCACACAATAGACACCCAACAGAATGAGTTATCTGTTGACAGAAATGAGTGACAGAATGAGTTTTCAAGTTATGCTAAAATACTAGAGTTAATCCTTACATGGAGATTAGGTTCAAAAGTCATCATATGAAATAAAAGTTTGCCATAGTCCCCATGTAGGAGACCTGGATGGAGTTCCAGGCTCCTTGCATCAACCTGGCTCAACCTCAGCCACTGTAGTCACTTGGGGTGTGATCCTGTGGATGGAAGAGTTCTCCCTGTCTCTCTCTCTACGTATCTCTTTGAAGTAAATAAACAGCTTTTTTAACAAAATTCAGCATAGCTAAAAAAAAGTCACCCTGGAAAACTATTTGGAAATTATCTATTCAGCACACCCAATACAGCCAGTTTTTCCTCCTGCTTAGTAACAAATGGTTGTTTGTTCTGGAGAGGGCCAGAGAAGGAGCTGACTTGAGCTGTTGGGGGCCAGCCTCACACAGTAGATGCTTATCTTTAAAGGCCAGCACTGTACTCCAGCAGCAACAAGGCATGAGCATGAGGAGAGGGAGTCACGGTTCCGTTTCAGACAGAAAGGTCTCAGAATCACGGTCTCATTTAAATGGCAATTGTTTTTTAAAGCATTTGAATATTCATAATTCGTGTATGATTCCCTAGTATCACATTCAAACATTTCTGCATTTCCTATTTTGAGATTTATGAGGGGACATACACTCAGCTTCAGGTCCCAAGGATTGTCAAAAGGAAGGATTCTGGAACTTACATGATATGCAATCATTTATAGATGCTGACTATATAGATAAAAGGTGTAAAAGCAAAGAGGCTCAAAGAGAATTCTGACACCCTTCCTCCCTTTTGTAAGCAAAGAAAAGTGTTCTGAAGGAGGCTGCTTTCAGCGGGTGAGAAATGTTGCCAATTTCTTTTTAAAAATTTTATTTGAAAGACAGAAAGACACACAGAGAGAAGCAGAGAGATCTTCCATTTGCTGGTTCATTCCTCAAATGCCCACAACAGCTGGGGCTGGGCTAGGCT